GATATGCGTTCATTAAACCGTTGCAATAAAAAAGGGAGCTCACTGGGGAGCAAATAATTTATAGAATGAGATGAAAGGCCACCTGTCCCCGGTGATGTATTATTTTCAGCCGTCTTACACAGTCTATGATTTCTTTAAGTGATAACGGAGCGCCACATAATTCCTTATCTTCCTGCTCAAGTTTGGGAGTGTTTTGTAAAGAGTTTAGAAAAGCCAGAGCATCACTCTCACACTATTTTGATGTATAAAGTTTTTTTTATATAATAAAATGAACAGAATTAGATATAATTTTCGGGTTATCAGTTCAACTTCTTCTATTCTTAAACGAGTAACTGTTTTCAGTTTTGCATTATATCTTTCTAACCTAAGAAAGAGGAATTCTGCCGTCCTCTAGCCATCGTTTCCGAGACACCACAGATGCCCCTCCTTTATACGTTGTCTAGTCTTTTTTTTTAAATCTTGTTTTGTAACGCATTTACAGAACACTTGAGTGACGTCATTACTGCGCGCCCGCGTGTGGTCGGGTCAGGCGTCTGGACGCCGGGTAGCTTGTCAAATGAAATCGTTTAATTTGCTAAATAGTCTTTCTCGCACTAGTCAACTTTGCTCCCGGAGGACGAGGCCCGACGAGCCGTAGCATCAGCAGACATGTCTTACTGCAGGCAGGAAGGTAATTTTTATCTTCTTTCATTCATTTTTGCTTCCATGGCTGAGCAATGTCACCGAGCGACCCACCACCACCATGCTAGGCTAACGTCTACACCCAGTGAGACCTTACTGTTTGTTACAGTATGTCAGGAAACCGGCCAGCCTCCTGCTATAGCCAACACAGCTTTCAAACAGATTGCAGTACTTTTTGACTTAATGCTCTGATTACTGCAGTAAAGTGCATGTAAAACAGTGACTGCGGTGCTGTTAAACAACTAGCAGTGTTGCTCTTGGTGCTGCCATGAGTTTCAAGCAGTAGGTGAAAAGCCAGTCACTGTCATACTTATTATAGCTTTTCAC